TTATTTAGACATTAGGCTTCCTTCGACCTTTGGGCCAGCAATTTTATGTGGTAATAACTTCTAATAACATATCTCTATTTCGTTTTCCAGGAAAACATATCGGAACATTTTCACTGTGCAGGGCATAAAGACAGCTGGTGTGACGTCATAGCCTCGTTCCCAGGCCTTATGTGGTCTTTCCTTCTCTCGCATTCGACGAAAATGGAAAACTTTGGAACCATGTTAAAAGGCAGTAGATAAAGAGATATCAAAGAATATTACTATTAAATTTTGTGATGCTCTTTCAAGCTGTGGTGAAATTTTTGTCTAGACTTGTTGAGATCAAAATTTTGGTTATTAGGTAATAGGTCCATAAGGCATTGAAAATATAGTGTCGATTTTATATAAAGTTTTGAATCTGTTGTTGCATATTACATTTGTGTTTTGTGAGTATTTTTTTTTTTTGGGGGGGGGGCGGTGGTGGAGGTTGTTGTACTCCTAGCTGTCACACACTGTCAAAAGGGGGTAGGGAGGGGTAAAAAATTGGCAAAAACAGCGTGACGTATTTTGTGAATGGCCCCTAATAAACAGTTTTAAAACTTTTAAAAATACCATTTTCCCCAGCTAATTCCAGTTTTATCTAACGGACAGCATATCGCTCATCAAGTTATCAGTTCATACAACCACAGTGTTATTCTTTAAATCGATGTCAAAATACCAAATTTCGGCACACTCCTTGCCAGCTTCGTGTTCAACCGCGCAGACAAAAACAATAGAAAGGAACTGGAAATGACAGCTTTTCAATTTCGCCCCAATCTCGTTCCCCGAGCCTGCGGTCCTCGGGAAGGAACGCGAGACTCTGGGATAATCCGTTGCCGGAAGCCAGAAATCCTGGCTAAGTTTGAACTACGCATTCCATATCAACGGTCAATCAGATTCCTTCCTGAAACGGATTATCCCAGAGCCTCACGTTCCTTCCCGAGGATCGCAGGCTCGGGGAACGAGATTGTTTCGCCCCATCTTGGCTGCACTTTTTGGACTCGAATTCTTGCTTCAGATATGCTGAATAAGAAGCTCACGAGGCCTTAAAATATATTTCACAGGGCCGTCTGACAAAATGTCCGATGACGTCGCGTCTGACGTATGTATGATGCATAGAAATAATAGACATAGGTCTGATATTTCTATGGTATGATGATGTCCGATGACCTTCAGTTCAGTTTGGCTCGGAAATAAGTCTGAATGACACAAATTAATATCAGCACAATGTATTAATTCTGAACGGCAAATGTTGTGAAGATATTAAATGATTTGTGTCATTCATACTTATTTCCAAGCCAAAATTAACTTGCCAATAACAGCAGTAAGAGTTCGAGCACTTAAGCCCGCTTTCCACTTCACCATTTCGCTCGCCGCCCCACCCTCGATTACATTATTAAAACAACATTTCCAGTTCACTTTTTATACACTACTCTGATTTTCCATTTAACATACGAGCCTCTAGTCCTATACTAGGGTACATTTTGATTTGCGTTGGACAAAGCTACAGTTCGGTCGGACACCAATACACTCGGGGGTCGGACAAACAATAAACCTCAGTTTAGGTCGGACAGAATGTCCAGTGGTTTCCTCTTTATGTCGGACAATTTCACGAATGGGTCCGAGCTCACTGGTCCCAATACAGTTGGGTCTCACTACCACATATATTTTATACCACGCAATGCGCTTGCAACCGACAAGTTTAAAGATTCTACGCACTGGTCGTATTCTCGCCGGCTCTACCGGCCAAAATTCGGAGATTAGGTATATATAACCGCTACATTCCTTTTGACCACAAGATTCTTTAACCCATTTCGGAACTGTCCGTTCTGAAGCATAAATATAACGGGATTGACACTCGAGCTGAACATTGCCAACAATAATGTGGAAAAAAACAGCGCACTCGGGACAGTCGTGTATCGCCTAGCAACAAGCACGACAGCAACCGGCAGGGAGCATACAAGAAACGAAGCGATCACTATACCCAGAAACTTTGTAACTTTTTTTCGATGTGTTTGAAGAGCCGTGCGGTTTGTTGGCACCTGACTTAGTCTTCGGTCTGTATCTGAAAACCATAGTACGACCACTGTTTTATAAAAACAGTAGGACATAAGCGCCAGTGGTACTACAATTGCTATAAAAGTTATTACAATGACATATATAGCCATATAAGGGACGGCTATTTTACAGGCGTGTCGTTTCGGATCGAATTTTGTGTATATTATAAGCGGAATTAGAATTGTCACTGATATTCCCCAAATTATTCCGATGATCAGTTTGGTGTTGCGTTGCGCGACTCTGGCTCTGAATGGCTGGGATATGTAATAAAATCGTTCCCACGTAATTACTGTCAAAGTTAAGCTCGATACGACCATGCTCACAGCTGGAATAGGACAGGTATGTACAAGTTTACATAACCAGTCCAATGGAAAATTTGTCGAGCCCTCTTTCAAGGTTTCTCGAAGGACGAACGAGACGATACTCGACAGGCCTAATGCCACATCGGACACGGCCAAATTCATGAAAAGATAATGAGTGAAATTGTGCATTCCAGGGGTTTTATAAGTTACCAGAATTATAAGTGGGTTTCCTAGAAGGTTGAGCAGGACGGACAAGAAGCATATGTATAGATTCCAGGAATTGAAGAGCTCACTTTTCGCAAATATATGGCCAGAATTGGGGGTTGTGTGGTTGTCTACCGAACAGACATTGTAGAAGTCTGCCATAGTCGTGGTGGGTCCACAGTGTTGCATGAGGAATGTTCAACCTTTGGCACAGAGATTACAATGGATACCAATGGATGTTATAGGGCTACCATACAGGGATTATAATGAATAAGATTGGATGTTATATGGATATATTGTGGGGATTACAATGGATATAAGTGGGTGCCATATATGGATACAAAATAGGGATTACAATGGATGTAATAGGTAGAGCATACCAATTGATCTTACAATGAATGTTCAGCCTTTATAGAGATTCTGTAACTGAAAAATACCGACTCTCTTTGATTATATTCCAGCTTTTGTTCAGGAATTTCAGTGACGTTTGTAGCGTGTTCCAGGACGATTAGGAATGAGTTGAACTGTTTTTTTTACTCTTTTATCCTTCCCAAAAGCCAACGCGTGTCTTAAAATGTTCCTGTCCAGTTACAATCGCAGCTTCCTGACTACGCCTGTTCACTCGAACACAAACGAGAAATTAAAATTGCTGAAAACAACTGTCCGAGACCAATACAATCTCTGAATATCCCCTCTTTCAATTGTAGTTACATACAATGACTTCAAATAATAACAACTGTTAACAGTTCAATATCGGCAATGGCTGAAATTGTTATGAATTTTGTATGTGATCCGATAAACCAGAAACTACGCCGGGAATTGTTCTGTAGTTATACAACAACGCCTTTATCTTCGCTATCAATTGCAGTTACACTTTATATACAGGTTCTTCCCGGAAGAATATACTGATATTATATTGCTTTTGCACCAACCCTTAAAATTATCTTCAAAATTATTATCAGTATTTCTGACAATGTATAGCAATTTATGTTGCTCAGAATAATACCACGAATAATATCTTAGTTATATATTCCAAGAGATCCATTAAGCATGGCCTTATAATCATGAGTTTTGAATCAATTTTTAATCTTTTCTCATTATTGTACACTCAAATTAAAATCATTAAAACACATGTGCATGCAGTTGAAATCGCTCTTTTCACTTCGACATTCACGTCCCGTCTTTTCGCCACGGTAAAACACGTCTGCTTTAAAAGTAATATAGAAACTTTTCTCATTTTACGCTTCTCAAACATGCAAAGAAAGTCATAAATATGACATTGAATCTCTTATTTTTCATTACACTACAGCTGCCAGTTATATTTACTGCAAAAATGAACGCGCATTACTCGACAAAAAAATGTAATTTAAGCGCGCCCTATCGTGTGCGCAATAAATGTCCCATTTCAAAATTATCAAGTGTTTGAACAATTGCTTTGAATAATTTGCTGCGTGAAATGAAATATTTAATGAGAACTTCTTAAACATGATATAAAGAGGCCGGATGCCATTGCTTTTTTCAATGTACCTATTCCCTAATGAACAAAATTTTGATCTAGACAAGTCTAGACAAAAATTTCATCGCAGCTTGACAAAATTAGTAATATTCCGAAGTTTCGTTGCGAAATGTTGTAAAATGCAGATAATATAGCCCTCCGAAGTTTGCTGCTTTTCAGTCATTTTGTATTACGCACGGGAAATTGATACCTTTTTTCAGAAAGTGGTATCAATTCCCCGTGCGTAATACAAAATGACTGAAAAACGGCAAACTTCCCAGGGCTGTATTATCCGCATTTTACAACATTTCGCAACGAAACTTCGGAATATTACTAATTTTGTGATGCTCTTTCAAGCTGTGAAATTTTTGTCTAGACTTGTCTAGATCAAAATTTTATTCATTAGGGAATAGGTCCATTATAAAATGTTTAGCTTTTACTACGAACATATGGTGATACTGGGCAGCGGTTTTACGATTGCTGGTGTTGAAATGTTTGGGTAATGCCCCCCCCCCCCCCATTTTGAGAATTACAATCCCGCAAAGTGCATTTCCAGTTATTTCCAACAATAAAAAAATTGTTTAAAGTACCATGTTGATGATAGGCAGATATATTTCTTGTAAAACACATGTCTTTAAACTGAAAAATTAGTGAAAGTTCTTGTCTATAACAATCGTTATATACACAAATATCATGAATATGCAACGGTCAAGTCACAGAGGAAGTATTTAACAATTATTCGCCGAAGGCGAGGTGATTATCGGTGAATAAAAACCGAGACGAAGTCGAGGTTTTTATTCACGATAATCACCGAGCCTGAGGTGAATAATTGTTTTAGTATAATTTCATAGGTGATTATTTGGAAAAAAAAGTTTAAAAATGCACATTTCTTCGTCTTTTAATTGAGAAAACGGCTTCGGCCGCCATTTTGAAAATCGCTTAGGTGATTATCGCGTAATAATCACCTCAACGGTAACCAATCAGCGTGGAGAATTTTCTATAATCACCTATGTAATTGTACTAAATATCTTTACTCTTTGGTCAAGTCGTGCGTTACTTTGTTTCAGAAAATCACGTGGGCACGCTTAAAACTGCGACATTATAGAAGCCCAAAACACTTTCAAAACTAATATGTTTCACTTTTCAAACTGACAATTTCGGTTAAGCCAATGGTAGTGTCACTGAGGCTGCCACTCTATAGCCATAGCATCTCAACATCCCGTGCGTCCTGTACTAGGGTACATTTTGATTTACGTTGGACAATTAGCTACAGTTCGGTCGGTACCAATACACTCGGGTCGGACAGAATGTCCGGTGGTTTCCTCTTTACGTCGGACAATTTCACGAATGAGTCGGACAATGCCCGTGACCGCTGAATATTTTAAGGCCCGAGCTCAAGGGTCCCAATACAGTTGGGCCTCACTATCACATATATTTTATACCACGCACTGCTTTTGCAACCGACAGTTTAAAGATTCTACGTACTGGTCGTACTCTCGCCGGCTCTACCGGCCAAAATTCGGGGATTAGGTATAACCGCAACATTCCTTTTGACCACAAGATTCTTTAACCCATTTCGAAACTGTCCGTTCTGAACCATGAATATAACTGGATTGACACTTGAGCTGAACATTGCCAACAATATTGTGGAAAAAAACAGCGCATTCGGGACAGTCATGTATCGCCTAGCAACAAGCACGACAGCAACCGGAACGGAGCATACAAGAAACGAAGCGATCACTATACCCAGAAACTTTGTAACTTTTTTTCGATGTGTTTGAAGAGCCGTGCGGTTTGTTGGTACATGACTTAGTGTTCGGTCTGTATCTGAAAACCATAGTACGACCACTGTTTTATAATAACAGTAGGACATGACCCCAAGTGGTACTACAAATGCTATAAAAGTTATTACAATGACATATATAGCCATATAAGGGACGGCTATTTTACAGGCGTGTCGTTTCGGATCGAATTTTGTGTATATTATAACCGGAATTAGAATTGTCACTGATATTCCCCAAATTATTCCGACTATCAGTTTGGTGTTGCGTTGCGCGACTCTGGCTCTGAATGGCTGGGAAATGTGATAAAACCGTTCCCACGTAATTACTGTCAAAGTTAAGCTCGATACGACCATGCTCACAGCTGGAATAGGACAGGTATGCACAAGTTTACATACCCAGTCCAAAGGAAAATTCGTCGAGCCCTCTTTCAAGGTTTCTCGAACGACGAACGAGACGATGCTCGACAGGCCTAATGCCACATCGGAGGCGGCCAAATTCATGAAAAGATAATGAGTGAAATTGTGCATTCCAGGGGTTTTATAAGTTACCAGAATTATAAGTGGGTTTCCCAGAAGATTGAGCAGGACGGACAAGAAGCATATGTATAGATTCCAGGAATTGAAGAGCTCACTTTTCGCAAATATATGGCCTGAATTGGGGGTTGTGTGGTTGTCTACCGAACAGACATTGTAGAAGTCTGCCATAGTCGTGGTGGGTCCACAGTGTTGCATGAGGAATGTTCAACCTTTGCCACAGAGATTACAATGGATGTTATAGGGCTACCATACAGGGATTAGAATGGATAAAATGGATATTATATGGATATATTAGGATTACAATGGATATGAGTGGGTGTTATATATGGATACCATATAGGGATTACAGTGGATTCCAATGGATGTAATAGGTAGAGCATACAGGGATTGCAATGGATACCAACTGATCTTACAATGAATGTTCAGCCTTTATTACAGCGATTGCAATAGATGTAAATGGATATTATAGATATTCCGTAACTGAAGAATACAGACTCTCGAGCCCAATTTTTCTTTGATTATACTCCAGCTTTTGTTCAGGAATTTCAATGGCGTTTGAAGCGTGTTCGAGGATAATTATAGGAATGAGTTGAACTGTTTTTCTTACTCTTTTATCCTTCCCAAAAGCCAACGCAAATCGTGTCTTAAAATGTTCCTGTCCAGTTACAATCGCAGCTTCCTCTACGCCTGTTCACTCGAACGCAAACGAGAAATTAAAATTGCTGCAAACTGTCCGAGACCAATACAATCTCTCAATATCCTCTCTTTCAATTGTAGTTACATACAATGACTTCGAATGATAACAACTGTTAACAGTTTATTGTCGGCAATGGCTGAAATTTTTATGAATTTTGTATGTGAGCCGATAAACATGAAACTATTCCGGGAATTGTTCTGTAGTTATACAACAACGCCTTTATCCTCGTTTTCAATTGTGTAGTTACATACAATGACTTCGAATGATAACAACTGTTAACAGTTTATTGTCGGCAATGGCTGAAATTTTTATGAATTTTGTATGTGAGCCGATAAACATGAAACTATTCCGGGAATTGTTCTGTAGTTATACAACAACGCCTTTATCCTACAATTGCAACGGCTGTGCCAAACAGGTTGAAACAGTGATATAGTATGCCAGCCTGTTCGATTTAACCAGCTGTCTGCCTCAAGCGTCTTCACTCATTCATTCTCTTCTTAGTCTCCCTTATCCTTTCCTTGTTTTGTGATCAGCTTGTTTTATATTTATTTTCTTCTACAAATATACGGAGTCTTTCAATGCGCATACAATTAAAATTCCTGAAATTGAATTTACGTTGCCAGGAAAATGTATAAATATGTCAATGACAATATGTAAACACAGTAGAAATTAATTGAAACTGCAACTTTTCAGCGCGTCTTTTATCTCCTTTCGTGGTCTTTTATCTCCTCCGTCAGACCAGGAAGATTGTAAACAGGTTTAACCACCATTGCAATATTCAGATCCTCCGCAAAATAACTGCACGTTTTCCAAAACAATGGCTACGTTAATTTACTTTTTTTCGCAACAGTAATTTAATTTCAATTGTATATATGATCACCCGTTCAGTTTGTTCATCCAAATGTCCGCGATTTAGCCTCTTTAAAAAAATACAAAAGTGTTGAATCACGTTGAATTTCCCCTCGCAAAAAATTTCACCTGCGCGTTTTTTTTTTTAATAAGAAGTAGTATTTTTGAGAATATAACAATTTAGGTCTTTATATACAGGTTCTTCGCGGAAGAATATACTGATGTTATATTGCTTTTATAGCAACCCTTAAATGTATCTTCAAAATTATTATCAGTATTTCTAACAATGTATAGCAATTTATATTGCTCAGAATAATACCACGAATAATACCTTAGTTATATTCCAAGAGATCAATTGAGCATGGTCTTATAGTTAAAACCATGAGTTTTGAATCAATTTTTTGAACCACGAAGTTGAAATCGCTCTTTTCACTTAGACATTCACGTCTCGTCTTTTCGCCACGGTAAAACACGTCTGCTTTAAAAGTATAATATACAAACTTTTCTCATTTTACGCTTCTCAGACATGCAGAGAATGTCATAAATATGACATTGAATCTCTTATTTTTCATTATACTATCAGCTGCCAGTAATATTTACCGTGAAAATGAAGGCGCATTACTTGACAAAAAAATGTAATTTAAGCGCGCCCTATTGCGTGCGCAATAAATGAACGGCCCATTTCAAAATTATCAAGTGTTTGAACAATTGGTTTGAATAATTCGCTGCGTGAAATGGGATATTTAATGAGAACTTCTTAAACATGGTAAGAGGCCAGATGATTGCTTTTTCAATTATAAAATGTTGAGCCTTTACTACGAATATATGGTGATAATGGGCGGCGATTTTACGATTGCTGGTGTTGAAATGTCTGGGGCAATGCCCCCCCCCCCTCCCACAAAAGTTTGAAAATTAGAATCTCGGAAAGTGCATTTCCAGCCATTTCCCACAATAAAAAAATGTTTAAAGTATAAATCATGTTGATAAAAGGCAGATATATTTGTGTGAAACACAAGTCTAACTGAAAAATTAGTGAAAATTCTTTAATGTTTTGAAAATCACGTGGGCACGCTTAAAACTGCGACACTATAGAAGCCCAAAACACTTTCAAAACTAATATGTTTCACTTTTCAAACTGATAATTTCGGTTAAGCCAATGGCAGTGTCACTCAGGCTGCCACTCTATAGCCATAGCATCTCAACATCCCGTGCGGTTAAACACGGATTTCAGCGGTTTGTGCACACCCCAGCCGGTTCGAGGCAATCTTACATGCTGCATGCATGCTGACAAATAATTGCATTTTCGGATTATAAAATTATATATTCATGGTGTTTATATAATAGCTTAAAATCAAATACATGATTACAGAAAGCCCCGCATAAAAGAAGCAGTGAATCTTGACTTCAGGATGAAGTGTTTCTTAATGATATAATGGGTACTTATACAAAGAAATCAGCTAGGCTGATGTGGTTCGTAACTGGTTCTTATTTCAAGTAGGGATGAGCCGATTAATCGGTAAATAATCGGCAAAGCCGATTAATCGGCCGTTTTTTAAATTATCGGTAATCGGCCGATTGTTGCCTGACAATCGGCAAATAATCGGCCATAAGACTTTCTCTGCAGCTGCCAATCACATGCTAAAATACTGAATACAAGCGAATAGATTTTCACATTTTGTTGCAAAACCTGTGCCTTCTTTCGTCTCAAGCGAAGTGAAACTGGGAACATTTCCACTAAAAAAGCGCAGCAGACCAGCTCCGCATATTGTCTTGTTTTCACACCATAATCTGGCAAAACTAAACTTTGACTATTGACATGCGAGACTGAAGCTGTTTTTAATTGTACAAAGTGTGTATTGTAAACAATAAAACCGCATTTACAACTTCATTGTTGGTCATCCTGTGATTTTTCGCTTGCTTTTTAGAATAATCGGTTGGTACCGATTAATTGGCCGATTAGTTACAATAATCGGCTTATAAATAATCGGCCTCAGTAATCGGCAATTTTCCTTATCGGCTCATCCCTAATTTCAAGTCAAAAACAATTGTTCCTGGTTTAGAGTTTCAAACCTTTTATTGTATACAATGAATTTAGTTTTGATAAATGCATGTATGATGTGGACGAGAGACATAATTCATGCTAGCAAGATTACAGTATTTTACAATCAGTTTCAAATGTCTTGGGACAGATGTAAAAAAACTCTTGAATTTCAACAAATGTCAACCTCCCCCCC